CAAACGTGTTCGCTGAGTGCAGCGGCTGAACGTCCATTTGGGCTTTGATGGATGGAACGCTGCCTGGCAGTAGTTCATCTGAAGCTTAACTGAACTTTTTTTTTACTTCTTTCAACCAGCCGGTCAGCACGTGGTCAAATGGCCGTGTGCAGCTGGCGATTGTATGACAAGCCATGTTGCCATATATCCTAACTGGAATGTCAGCTACGTATGTTCGCGGACGCAATCAAAAGCCCGACACTGACCCGGCCCGCTGTGAGGGACGTCCACAGCGCATGGACATAAAAACAGCAGCGGAGCACGGAGGAGGTGACGGTCGGAGTTTATTTATCATGGAAGCAACAGAGGGGAGAGACACGGTTCATGCATGGCTCCAAAATGACAAGGCAGCCATATTTGTTCATAACTTTATTATTAGGAACGCACGCGACAAAATGAGAATGGTGAAAAAAAAACACAAAACTACTCCCTGCGGCAAAAAAAAGTATGTTTTCTAGGGTCACATGCGCCCCCCCCCCCCCCCCCCCCCCCCACCCTAGCATTGCCCCGGGCCCCTCCAGGGAGGCAAGCCCCACTATTTGAGAAGGACTGAGTTAATCAGTCAGTTCCTGTCTGAAGATCCTCTAAAGCCACGGGTGTCCTTGGAGAAGGATGGGACAGTAATGTGTGGCCACTGCACTTTAAAGCAAGTATGTCATGACACAAACATTCAAAACTTGACAATTACAGATAAACGCAAAGGATAATGATGTTTAGAGGAGATTATGACAATTATTTTTTTCTTGTTTGTCAGACGGGGATGTGAAAACAGCCAGCCAGACATTTGAAGCCATCGCTGGACCACAGCATCAGGATCTGAGAGTTTGTGCCTCCAGACTACACATCAACTGCAGCAGACCATACCTTGGAGCTTCTCCGGACGCTCTGCTCTCCTGCACCTGCTGTGGAAATGGTGTTTTGAAAATAAAATGCCCACATTGTGCCAAAGATGCTGAAGTCCTCGGTGCCTCAGTTAAGAAACATTTCTGGATCTGACAACACAAACGGGTCCCATGAACTATGCAGAGGTCACACAGGTGCACCAGGTACAAGCTCAGGTGTTTGTGACAGAGCAGGAGAACTGTAATTTCATAGTGTGGTCTGGGTCAGATTACTTTATTCAGAGGATTGTGTCTGATGTGAGTTCTTTACTGAAGCAGTGAAAAATGTAGAAATGTTCTATAGGTCAGCATTTTTACCTGAGATATTGGCAATATTCTATTTTTAACTGTTACATGTTTTGGAGCAGCCAAACTAACACAGGATTAAAGCACATGGTTAAGATACCAGTGATGATATTTTAAGATTATATTTCATAACTGCAGATATAGTAACATGTTTTTTTGTTTCTAGAAAATAACACCAGACTTTCAGTTTTTTAAACTGTTAAAATTTTATTGATGTATAACATTTACAGTATTCAAATAAAGTTGCTTTGATATTTTGATTAGAATTGATTTATATATATATATATACAAACCGGATTCCAAAAAAGTTGAGTCACTAAACAAATTGTGAATAAAAAACTGAATGCAATGATGTGGAGATGGCAAATGTCAATATTTTATTCGTAATATAACATAGATGACAGATCAAAAGTTTAATCTGAGTAAATGTAACATTTTAAAGGAAAAATATGTTGATTCAAAATTTCACAGTGTCAACAAATCCCAAAAAAGTTGGGACAAGTAGCAATAAGTGGCTGGAAAAAGGAAATTGAGCATATAATGAACAGCTGGAAGACAAATTAACACTAATTAGGTCAACTGACAACATGACTGGGTATAAAAAGAGCTTCTCAGAGTGTCAGTGTCTCTCAGAAGCCAAAATGGTAAGAGGATCACCAATTCCACCATTGTTGCGCAGAAAGATAGTGCAGCAATACCAGAATGGTGTTACCCAGCGTAAAATAGCAAATACTTTTAAGTTATCATCATCAACCGTGCATAACATCATCAAAAGATTCAGAGAATCTGGAACAATCGCTGTGCGTAAGGGTCAAGGCCGTAAAACTCTACTGGATGCTCGTGATCTCCGTGCCCTTAAACGTCACTGCACCTCAAACAGGGTTGCCACTGTCAAGGAAATAACAGAATGGGCTCAGGAATACTTCCAGAAAGCATCGTCAGTGAACACAATCCACCGTGCCATCCACCGTTGCCAGCTGAAACTCTACAGTGCAAAGAGGAAGCCATTTCTAAGTAAGCTCCACAAGCTCAGACGTTTGCACTGGGCCAGGGTCATTTAAAATGGAGTGTGGCAAAATGGAAGACTGTTCTGTGGTCAGATGAGTCACGATTTGAAGTTCTTTATGGAACACTGGGACGCCATGTCATCCGGACCAGAGAGGACAAGGATAGCCCACGTTGTTATCAACGCTCCGTTCAGAAGCCTGCATCACTGATGGTATGGGGTTGCATGAGCGCTTGTGGCATGGGCAGCTTGCATGTCTGCAATCATGGCTACGTAGGAGAAGGATCCGGGTACTGAAATGGCCAGCCTGCAGTCCAGATCTTTCACCTATAGCCTGATCAAGAAAGCTCATCAGAGACTCTACTTCCTCAGACGGCTGAGGCGAGCTGGTCTGGGAAGCTCAGTCCTCACCTCCTTCTACAGGTGTGCAGTGGAGAGCATCCTGTGCTCGAGCATCAATGTGTGGCATGGAGGCTGCACAGCTGCAGAAAGAAAAGCTTTGCAGAGAGTGGTGAAGGCTGCACAGAAATCTGTTGGAATCAGTCTCCCCACCATCACAGACATCTACACCTCCAGATGCAGGAAGAGGGCCACCTGCATCATGAAGGACCCCACCCACCCAGCACACACACTTTTTGCCCCACTCCCCTCAGGAAGGAGGTTAAGGAGCATTAAGTGTAGAACCACTAGACTGAGGAACAGCTTCTACCCTGAGGCTGTTAGACTCATGAATCTCTAACTAGAATAATCACTGTGAAAAACCATATCATGTTGCTGCTGATCTGTTTCATGTTGCTGCTGATCTGTTTAAATGTTGATGTGTTCATGCGTGCACATCTGCTCACAGACTCATGTTCATGTTTGTGGTGATGTTCAATGTTTTATGTTATGAGTGCTTAGTGTATATTTAGTTGATGTTTTTCTTAGTTCATATCTTAGATGTTATTACTGTTTTTCTTATACATTTTATTGTTGGATGTAACTGGGACCCTGTGTACATAATTTCGCTCCACCACATGTACCACATGAGGTGCGAATGACAATAAAGAAACTCTGACTCTGACTCTGACTATAGAGAACATTTGGTGCATCATAAAGAGGAAGGTGCGACAAAGAAGGCCCAAGATGATTGAACAGTTAGAGGCCTGTATTATGAATGGGAGAGCATTCCTATTTCTAAACTTGAGAAACTGGTCTCCTCTGTCCCCAGACGTCTGTTGAGTGTTGTAAGAAGAAGGGGGGATGCCACACAGTGGTAAAAATGGACTTGTCCCAACTTTTTTGGGATTTGTTGACGCCATGAAATTCGGAAACAACTGATTTTTCCCTTAAAATTATACATTCTCTCAGTTTAAACTTTTGATCTGTGAATTGTGTTCTATTCTGAATAAAATATTAGAGTTAGATTAACTCAACCAACATCTTACTAAACGGCTGGAAAGAGATTTTGATGAGTTTGAAGCTTTGACTTGACATAGATTAAAACATAGGTTGAAAAACAAGAGAAAAAGTTGAAGTGGAGAGCATCATGCCTGTTTTGTCTTGGAACCCAGAAAGACTAAATCCACTTCCTCAGTTTACGAAACATAACGTGCTAAAAGCAGCCCAAAATACTGTAAGACACTGAGCTGGTTTAAGTTATAATGCAGCTAAAGTGTGGCGACCGCAAACATGACCAAAATCCTCAACCTCATACAAGCAGAGTTGAGTAGATGTACGTCTCCTACCAGCAGGATGTCCTTCATGAAACCAAACCTGGATTTTGTTTTTCATCAGAGCAGCTCTGCAGGAGCAGAACTTCTTTAACATCTTCAAGTCAACCTCTCAGCTGTCCACTCTTCGTCTTCAACTGCATGCGACCCTTAAGCTTTGGTTCCTTCTGGCAGTTCAGGAACCTTTTTAACTTTTGATCCAAGTTCTGTGTGAAAATTTCATTCAGCTCAATTCAAGGAATATCTTTTGTGTTTTTCTTAAAAAGTTAAATGTTTTTTTCTGCACCTGAGATTAGATCTGAACAATTCTTAAACCTGGTAAACACCAACTCATTTTTTATGTTGTCTTGGAAATCCTAAGTGAGAGAAAGTAGATACTGTATCATATTTTCCTCCACCGTCTACAAATGTTTGGGGGAAATAGTCTACAAGGAAGAATCAGGCTTTCAGGTTGCAACCAACGCCCATCTGACTAATATTCATATGGTTTAATGATTGATTAATGTTAATACAAGTAAAGCACTGACTAGATTTGAGGGAGAACATGTAAGTGATTTGTGGTGAGGAGCTTAAAGATAATAAAAAAATTACTCCTAATAAAATAAAACGCTCTGACAAAAGGATGAAAAAGTTTTGTTTTACAGATTAACAAAAAGTTCTTAGAAAAACTAAATATGGTCAAAAGAACAATGTATTGTTTTGTATGTAAGAAACAAGCACATACAAATCCCATAATGTAATAAATAAACAATAAACTCATTCATAAAATCATATTTCCCGAGCGGAAACTCCGGAGGGGACTTTTTATAGACGAGCACATTCTACTTCCGGGTAAATTTGAACCGATTTCAAGTTACAGCGAGAGACTTGGAGGCACAGACATGTTAAACTAAATAAACATTGCTAGTTTAATATTTGATTATACTTTAATAACTTTTATTTAGATACTATTTAGAAGCAAAATAATATTTTAGAAAGGCTTTGACTTTTGAAATATCGATCCGTTTTTGTGTTCCTCCTGCTGGTGTTTGTGTTTACACCGAGCGTTCTGTTTCATGGTCATGGAGATATTTTAAGCGTTAGCTCGCTGATTTCCGCCCACATTTGCTCAGTGTGTGTTGTGTAAAGCGTCGTGTGTGGGTCTGTAGCCATGTCCACGCTGTTTCCCTCTTTGCTCCCGCGGATAACCGAGTCGCTGTGGTTCAATCTGGACCGACCGTGTGTGGACGAGCCGGAGCTGCAGCAGCAGGAGCAGCAGCACCAAGCCTGGGTCAGTCCTCGTCCTCTGCACCGTGGCTTCCTCACTTCATCAAGTGAACTTCATGTTTAACTCTATCGTTATCGCCCGCTGCTGAAGGCGAGAGATCATGTTTTTATCTGTGCGTCTGTAGCGTTAGCCAAATATCTCATGAACTAGTGGACACATTTTAGTTCCATTTTCTGAAAGTAATCATTAGTTGTACGTCTAAAACTAATTCAAGAGATTGTCACCACAGCTAATTAACCTCAGGCAGTGAAAACTTGCTCCAGCTCAGTCAGTTTGACAGTTATTATTCTGAATTTGCTGTGGTGGTGGCTGAGAGTCATCCGTGACACGTTCTCTGAGTCCTAACACAGGATGAGGTCGTGCATAACATCATTTACCAGATCAGACCAAAAAGCTATAAAGCTGTCTCTTCTAAGGGTATGATGATTTTACTTATTATTTCACTGAATGTTCGACCTTAAAATTGTATCTCTGTGTTGTGTTTCAGCTGCAGAGCATCGCTGAGAAAGACAACAACCTGATGCCTATCGGTAAACCTATTTTTGAGGTAAAATCATGAACATTTGACAGATTCCACGACATGTCTGTGAGCTGTTTTAAATGTGTCTTTTTGTCTGTATTTGACGAGTCCAGGCAGGCTATGAAGAGGAGGAAGAAGAAGACGATGAGGATGAAGAAGACAGTGAAGAAGACTCAGAAGATGAAGAAGACATGCAGGACATGGATGAGATGAATGACTACAATGAGTCAGCTGATGATGGCGAGATCAATGAGGTGCTTGCTTTTGTCCTTTGTACAGTCATTTTCAGCACGAGGGTTCATGACACAGTAAATACATAACTCTTTAAATTATTATGTCATAACTTTCATCACGTTCATACACCGATGGGACACACATCGGAGGAGGTTCAGCGTCTTGCCCAGGGACACGTCAGCATGTGACTGCTGGTGGAATCGGACCCTCAGCTCTCCCATTGGAGGACGACTGCTCTAACCACTCAGCCACAGCTGCCCCTGCAAATGTGTTTAATCTGGCTGAATTTTATTTTTTCAGGTGGACATGGAAGGGGCAGACCAAGACCAGGACCAGTGGATGATTTAAGACTCGACTTAGTCAAACTATCAAGTCAGATGTGCCAGCTGCTTCCTCACTCTGTGACACAGATGTGTTTGTTCTTTGGCCGTGCAAGATGAGAACATGACTGGATCATCGTAAGATACTTCAGGAGAAGGTCAGCACTTGTGTCTCATTTCAAGCTGTAATCCATCAGACTTGAAAGACATTTTTGGACATTGCTGTGAGACAGGCTACCTTGCACGGGTTTATTTATTATGAAAATACAGCCGCGGGTGTACATCTAAGTTTCTGTCTGCTTTTTACAAAATTTGAAACTGTCAAGGCATCTCTAAGCCTGCTTGGTGCCATAAGTGCCATAAATTGGACTCATAAATGCCGTGCTTTTGTTTTGTGAAGAGTTTGCTGCACACATTGGCCAGCTGATGTTTTTTGAAACTTTGATCAGTCAACTCTTGTCCCTGTGACTGAGAGCGTTATTATCTTCTTGTTTGTCTCCGTGTGCCCATGATGGACTTGCGACTTGCCCAGGGTTAACCCCACTTCTCCTACAGTAACTGCTGGAGATTGGCTCCAGCTCACCTTTGACTAGGAAAAGAAAAGACAAATGAAGAAAATGGATGGTTATCTTCAGTCATGTGCTACTGCGAGTTTCCAAACAGCTGATTGAGTATACACAGAAGTTCAGTCAGTAGAATAAGTTATTGTAAATGACATACAGGTACATAGAGTTATAATTAAAATTGCTTTCACTTTTGTTTCCTTTTATTCCAGCGTCTTCTTTTGTAAAATATTGTTATATATATTGTTCACAGTCCTTCTTATAGATAGGCACATTCAAGATTCTCTCCTTTCTCCAGCTGCTGTCTGCCTAAAACATGCACACAAAAGTGACATGTTTGGAGAAAACCATTTCCCTCACATGTGCACTGTAATAGTCCATAAAATGAGCTTTTTCTTAAT